TTTTATGAAAAAATGAGGTGAAATGCATATTATTTTTTTTGACCTCGTGATGGATAATGTCAATGGTTTCAGAAAAGATATCACTTAAATGAATTGAAATTTTGAAGATGTTGTTTCCACACATATACACATACATGACACAAACTAAGTCGTATTTGTTAGAAAGCAAGGGAAAATGGATGGTTAAAAGTTATGAGTGTCAATTTATTTTTTTCCCTAATTGTGTATTGCTACCTAAAGCTTTCGCTCAACAATCACAGAATGAACTATTTTTTCGATTATACTGTATGAATTCCTCAGATATGAAAAAATGTGCGGAAAGGACTTAGTTTTATGGCAAATTTAATATATAACGGATACTGCGCAGTTAAGGACAAAATTATAAAAATCTAAAGATTTGCGCAACGGTACTAATATAAGATGGTAATATACGAAGATGATGTTATAAAATCGTGTGTTGACATTAGCTTTTTTTAGATTACGCACACAGTCAATTCAATTCAATTTTCAGATTAAATGTACTTTAAAAATAAAGTTTTGAACTATTGCATACATATATATATATATTTATTGTTGTCTGCTCTATGGTCGAGTTGTTGTCTCTTTGACACATTCCCCATTTCCATAAGAAAATTAATAAAAGATAATAACGGTTTCAATTCATCACTTTTACTAGCGCTTTCACTGCTTTTACAGATCTTCAGGTAATGTGACTTGTATACATAAGTGTTATACAAAACAATTGATTGACGTTAACAATAGTATGACGTTAACAAATACAAGGGAGACCACTAATGTCATTTAAAAAAATGAGTAAAGTCTTTAAAGTGTTATTTAAGTAAAAAATAAAATATTATTTATCATTTAATCCCGGGTTGAGAATGTTTATTAATAATTCTTCTTTCTTCTTCCGGAGGAAATCATTTTGACGATTCACCATATACAATGGAAATATCTTAAATCGTCCATTTGAACAACGATGGAAATGGTCGTTAGACCGGATGATTGTTAAATCTTCATGGTTGGTTTGCTGCCTATGAACAGTCATTCTAGTACGCAGTTTATTTTTTGTCTCTCCAATATAGAATTCCTCACAATTTGAACATATGAGAGAATAAATGACGTTTGAACTTTTACAAGACATGTTTTGTTTAATTGTGAAATGATTTCCACCCGCTTGAAGAGAAGGGGCTATAAACACAGAACTATTCAAAAAAGTTTTCAGAAAGCGGAAACTATCCCAAGGAGTAAACTGTTAGAATACGAAGATAAAAATAAAAATAAAAGGACTCCATGTGTTCTTACTTACTACCCATCTCTCAAAAACAGCTTCGGTGTCAATCGTCCGCATTGAAAAACAGTTGAAAAAAGAATTCCAATAAAGGCAACAGTAGTATACCGCTGTTCGAAAACTCATTAATCGATAGAGATAAAAACAAATCCGGGTTACAAACTAAAACTGAGGGAAACGCATCAAATATATGAGGAGAACAACGACACAACAAAAACACAACATTAAAGTGTAACACACACAGAAACGAACTATAATATAACAATGGCCATTTTCCTGACTTGGAACAGGACATTTTAAGAAAAAAAAAAAAAAAAAAAAAAAAAAATATCCAAGATATTTCCCGACACCCACCCCACCCCTCCACTCCTCCATCCCCCGTGATAGCTTTCAGGCAACCCAATAGTCTGTGGAACCTGGTGGTGCGGGCTGAAGTGTCTGAGAAGTACTTTTGGAGAATGTCGTTCGTGTGATGAAAAACGCTGCAAATGCCACTTCTCCCAATTATGAATGGGTCAAAACTATCAGGTCTCTGATAAAACGTCGCATTCATAAGTTGAAAAACTGTGTGAATGATCGACCAAAGTCCGTTTTCAGAGACAAAGAGGCCGTGAAATGTCTATCATCTCTTCGTGATAAGTATGTTGTTGTTCCTGCGGACAAAGCTTCAAATAATATTGTCTTTGTATGTAAATCGTATTACTACGAATGTCTTGTTAAGAAATTAGGAATAAATGAGCACTCAGGTAATCCCACATACAAAGGCATATCATTTGACAAGGATGAGATTTTGGCAAATCATAAGTCCTTCATGGCTTCAATGAACATTACATTGAACAACAAATCGGAGGACTTACCTTGTTTGTATTGGATACATAAGCTTCACAAAATTCCGTACAAACAACGGTACATTGCCGGCTCATCTGCATGTTCCACTAAAGAATTGTCCATTAGATTGACTAAAATTCTGTCCGCAGTGAAAGATGGTCTTCAGAAATACTGTGAAACTGTTTACTCGCGTAGTGGTATTAACCATATGTGGATTCTTAAAAATTCTAAAGAACTTCCAGATAATTTTAAATCTCGGTCTTTTCCTGAAATTAGTTCTATCTATACTTTTGATTTTTAACCCTGTATACCACCATTCCCCATGTGAAATTGAAAAATTGCCTGAAAGAAATAATCAATAATGCCTTTCAACATAAAAATGGTAGCATACGCTATAAATTTATTACTTTGGGATGTCATAAGGCATATTTTGTTAATAGTGAAAAAAATGGTAAAACATGTTACACAGAGGAACAAGTGATCAGTATGCTGGAGTTTCTTATCGACAACATATTTGTTGAATTTGGAGGTAGACTTTTTCAACAAATTGTCGGCATTCCTATGGGAACGAACTGTGCGCCTCTCCTTGCCGACCTCTTCTTGTTTTCATATGAATCGGAGTTCCTTCAGACACTTGTCAAAAACAAAAAGATCAAAGAAGCCAGATTATTTAATTTCACTTTCAGATATATTGATGATGTTCTTTCCATTAACAATCCGAACTTTTCTGATTGGGCCCCCCGAACTAGAAATTAAAGAAACAACAGACACGGCTTCCTCCGCCTCATTTTTAGACTTATACCTCGAATCAGGTAACTTCTGGATAAATTTAAATCTATGTCTTTTTCTGAAATTAGTTAGAATTATTGACACTGACGAAGGCTATTTGTTAAGCCAAAATATTTGTCAACACGATTTTATAACATCATCTTCGTATATTACCATCATCTTCGTATATTACCATCTTATATTAGTACCGTTGTGCAAATCTTTAGACTTATATATATATATATATATATATATATATATATATCCCTAACATCACTGAAGAGACATTTATTGTCGAAATCCGGATATGGTGTACAAATTTTTGCACCTCATGTTTGTGGTATACCATCTTTTCCACAAGTTTATTGTTTTCTGTGTGGTATTTAATTAATATTAAGATCCATTTTGTAAGATCTAGTGATCAATTTATTTGGCAATCGCCAATGGCAGTCAGCTGGGTTTAAGAACATCAGTTGTTAGACCTGTTAGTCAAATGCGTTTTGTTAAAATAGACTTTTTCACTTTTTTTGGTCTTTTGGAAATTGTTGTTTGTGCTGTATTTAGACCCCTCTATCAAGAAATTTGTTTTACATGCACACGTATAAAAAATGCGGTTTTTATCCAACGCAATCATAGGTTTGAACGTTGTTTTCAATTTAGACTTTTTATATTTTTTCGTTTGGGCTTGTATTATATTTTCCTTCGGGTTTATATGATCCGTTCATCTTATTTCGACTCTTTAAAATTCAAGAGTCTATTCTAAATTGAGGTAAATTATATGGCCTTCCAAATACCGTTTCGATCCCTAACATCACTGAAGAGACATTTATTGTCGAAATCCGGATATGGTGTACAAATTTTTGCACCTCATGTTTGTGGTATACCATCTTTTCCACAAGTTTATTGTTTTCTGTTTGGTATTTAATTAATATTAAGATCCATTTTGTAAGATCTGGTGATCAATTTATTTGGCAATCGCCAATGGCAGTCAGCAGGGTTTAAGAACATCAGTTGTTCGACCTGTTAGTCAAATGCGTTTTGTTAAAATAGACTTTTTCACTTTTTTTGGTCTTTTGGAAATTGTTGTTTGTGCTGTATTTAGACCCCTCTATCAAGAAATTTGTTTTACAAGCACACGTATAAAAATTGCGGTTTTTATCCAACGCAATCATAGGTTTGAACGTTGTTTTCAATTTAGACTTTTTATATATATAAATATATATATATTGTATATTGTAAATTTAGAAATGACAATCATCGTTTAACATGAATTGGCTTAACGTGGCAAGAAATCATAGATTCATGTAACCTTTCAAGTTTTTTCAAATCAGCTGACATCAGTAACAAATATGGTAACGAACTTTTTAACCTGAAAGAAAGAGTTATTTGCAAAATTTTGGTTATATATATACAGATAGAAGTCTATAAAAAAAGACCAACCAGCAAATTTAATGTGTACAGGATCGTCTAGATAGCTAGCCGATACTGCACAGATAAGGAAAAAATTATAAAGTCTTAAGATTTGCACAACGATACTGATATTATATATTAGTATATGTAGTAGTTACATACGATGAGGATGTTATGAAATCGTATTGACAAATATTTCGGTCAACAAAATAGCCTTCTTTAATTTCAATGTCTCTATCAAATGTAATACAATACTGGGTGTTTGTGTTTAAAAATAGCCCACTCTACCTGAACTGAGCTATTGTTAAACATAAACACCCAGCATTGTATAACATTTAATAGAAAAGAAGGTTATTTTTGACCGATATATTTGTCAAACCGATTTCATAACATCAACATGATCAACTCGTATATTACCATATTATATCTGTATCGTTGTGCAAATCTTAAGACTTTTGTGTATTTGTATATATAGTTATATACATATATAAGCATCTATAGCATTTGATGAATATTATTACACTGGAAAAGATATGTAAAATATGTACAATATTAAGTGTTAATTCATGAGAACTCATTCACTCATTCATTTATTCATTCATTCATTCATTCATTCATTCAGATACTCAATTTGCCCTAGGGCTCTCCATCTTTCGCTCCTTCAAATCATACACACATCTCCTATCATTAATATGAAACTTACCAGTGAATACATTTATTCCATATATAAAGCATAAAAGTAGTGCAATTTTGTGTATCATTTCAATTTATACTCCCCACAAATGAACTGAAATCACCTTCACAAAGCCTCATAAACTGCAAGGTTTTCACTATATGGATATAGTTAGTCCTAAATGATGGTTGATCACATTGGAACAACCTAATATGTTCTTCAAAAAAACGATGAGAAAAATCTTCACTTTCAAGTTTGGTAAACACAATATCAATAACTTTAAAGCCAATATTTATTAAAATCTTAGAGTCAACTGATTTAATACTTTACACAAAGACTGTTATTACGTCTTTTCATCAAATTATAATTCGTCATCCCGATTTCCAGGTGATTTATCCGCATGTCAAAGATCAGTACTTATAATACCATCCCCATCAATTGTAATGTAGATGTGACACATTTTTTGTTGCGGTAATTTGGAATGGAACGATTTAGTAGATTTACATATATACCTTGTAAGGTAATTTATGTATTAAATAATATATGAACATTAATATCTCATTTAAATGTGAAAATGATTTTAAGAAATCAGTGTAATAATGATTTGTATGTGAATGGTGTGTTCCCCTTCAAGGACCCTTAATTTGAACAATGAATATTCTTATTCTTATTCTTGTAAAAGGAAATAAAGTAACTTAGTTAGTGTTTGATCAAGAATCAAAATGTGTTTCTGTACACGCTGTATGATTTTAATCCGATACGCTCAATGACACAAGTTAGAAAAGCCAAACTTAAAACATTTGAAGGCATAAACATTTACTGTATATAGTAATGTGGCAGGATAGTCAACCAGAAAAAGAAATTAGTGTCTAAACATTACGACCAAAAATGACTAAAACGAACTTTGCCCGAGGTGTTCCGAGCTTTATTTTGGTACAATTACACAAATTATTCATTATACGATATGTGTTGTCAAATACATCTTATATGATAAAGTGATAGATATGAAATATAAATAATAAAAATGAGTTGTGTACTGAATGGAAAACTTGGGATAATTACAAGACATAAATTTAAACGTCTGCTTTTTAATGTGTATACAGCTAGATGGTGGGTAGAATACTGTCTTGTTCAATATTCTCCTTATGGAAGAAAGTATCAGACTTGCATTTTTACTACTTTTATTTTTGAAGAATATCTAAATATTTTTTTTCAAAGATCCAGGTTAAACTCGGTTTTGAGCAATTAGTGCATATTTCGCTAAGTATAAATAAGTGAGAACTTTCACCTAAAAAGTACATTAGAACAACGTTGTGAATTTTTTCTACTTTTCAAAACATCGTGTTTAGTTGTCACAGTATTTATGAAATTGGGGATCTACTAAAGGGTTTGTTCATATACTTTGTGACAGCTCATTTCGATTATAATTGTTGTTTTTATTGTACAGTCCTTAGTTTTCTTTGTGGTGGTTTACGGACAGTTGTTTTGCTGTCATTTTGTTTCTCTTTATATAGATATAAGAAGATGTGGTATGAGTGCCAATGAGACAACTCTCCATCCAAGTCACAATTTGTAAAAGTAAACCATTATAGGTCAAAGTACGGCCTTCAACACGGAGCCTTTGCTCACACGGAACAGCAAGCTATACAGGGCCCAAAAAATGACTAGTGTAAAACCATTCAAACAGGAAAACCAACGGTCTAATCTATATAAAAAGCGAGAAACGAGAAACACTTATGAACCACATCAACAAACGACAACCACTGAACATCAGGTTCCTGACTTAGGACAGGTGCAAACAAATGCTGAGGGTTTAAACGTTTTAATAGGCGCCAACCTCCACCCTACCCGAAACAATATTGTAACATCACAACATAGAAAGACACACTTTAAAATATTAATTGAAATGGCTTAACTCAATCAAAAGACATATTAACAAAAACAAGTGAACATACACTGTAAACCATAATGTTCGAACTATTGTTTTGTCTAGATGGTAATAATTACATAATTTAAAAACTGAAAATTTGCAAAAATAACGGAGAGGGCATATAACGGTGGATCCAGAACTGCTTTTAAAGATGCAGTGGTGATGTGGTTCAATCTGGAAAGGGGAATCCGCATTACAGTCAATATCTAAATAACGAATCCAAATCCAACCTTTCAACCGCCAATGGGAAATGTGCTATTGCATGTAGCACAGCCAATCTCCGGTATACGTCTAAATATACGAATACTTGGCATTCTTTTACTGCAGGGGTTATTGTAGTTAGATGTTCAGTTGAAGGCTATGGTTAGGTTAAGGTTATGTTTTGATGTTATAGTTAGTGTTATGGTTAAGTACGGTGAGGGTTAGGTTTAGGTTTAGATTTAGGATTAGTTTAGTATAGCTTAATATGCGTTGGGACCTCTAAGTTAAAAAAAAGGCCAAAAACTTTACGACAAACATTCTCAATCGGAAAACATTGAGTTTTACATCTCGGGTTTATATGATCCGTTCATCCTATTTTGACTCTTCAAAATTCAAGAGTCAATCCCAAATTGAGGTAAATTATATGGCCTTCCAAATACCGTTTCAATTCCTAACATCACTGAAGAGACATTAATTGTCGAAATCCGGATATGGTGTACAAATTTTTGCACCTCATGTTTGCGGTATACCATCCTTTCCGTAACTTTATTGTTTTCTGTTTGGTATTAAATTAATAATTAAGAGCCACTTTTACATCTGGTGATCCGTTTATTTGGCAATCGCGAATGGCAGTCAGCAGGGTTTAAGAACATCAGTTGTTCGACCTGCTTGTCAAATGCGTTTTGTTAAAATATACTTTTCCACTCATTTGGTCTTTTGGAAAATGTTGTTTGTGCTGTATTTAGACCCCTCTAACAAGAAATTTGTTTTACATGCACACGTATAAAAATTGCGGTTTTTATCCAACGCAATCATAGGTTTGAACGTTGTTTTCAATTTAGACTTGTTTATATTTTTTCGTTTGGGCTTGTAATATATTTGCCTTCGGGTTTATATGATCCGTCCATCCTATTTTGACTCTTTCAAAATTCAAGAGTCTATCATAAATTGAGGTAAATTATATGGCCTTCCAAATACTGTTTCGATTGCTAACATCACTGACTAGACATTAATTGTCGAAATCCGGATATGGTGTACAAATTTTTGCACCTCATGTTTGCGGTATACCATCTTTTCCGCAAGTTTATTGTTTTCTGTTTGGTATTAAATTAACAATTATGAACCACTTTTACATCTGGTGATCCGTTTATTTGGCAATCGCTATGGCAGTCAGCAGGGTTTAAGAACATTTGTTGTTCGACCTGTTAGTCAAATGCGTTTTGTTAAAAAATACTTTTTCACTCATTTGGTCTTTTGGAAAATGTTGTTTGTGCTGTATTTAGACCCCTCTAACAAGAAATTTGTTTTGCATGCACACGTATTAAAATTGCGGTTTTTATCCAACGCAATCATAGGTTTGAACGTTGTTTTCAATTGAGACTGGTTTATATTTTTTTCGTTTGGGCTTGTATTATATTTGCCTTCGGGTTTATATGATCCGTTCATCCTATTTTGACTCTTTCAAAATTCAAGAGTCTATCATAAATTGAGGTAAATTGTATGGCCTTCCAAATACCGTTTCGATTCCTAACATCAATGAAGAGACATTAATTGTCGAAATCCGGATAAGCTGTTTTTGAGAGATGGGTGGTAAGTAAGAACACATGGAGTCCTTTTATTTTTCTTTTTATATTTGTATCCTAACAGTTTACTCCTTGAAATAGTTTCCGCTTTCTGAAAACCTTTTTGGATAGTTCTGTGTTTGTAGCCCCTTCTCTTCAAGCGGGTTTCGAGTTGACGTAGTTGTTTTTTAGTTGTTTCTGTGTTGGAACATATTCGCTTGACTCTGAGTGCCTGACTGTACGGGATGCTCTTAGTACAATGAACAGGATGGCAACTTTTAGGGGACAGATATTGGTGAGTGTCAGTAGGCTTAGAATATAAGCCAAATGGCAGACTATTGCCAAACACCCAAAATTATCCAAGATCTTCCCTAAACCTCCTGTCTTAGCTTTTCGGAGACCAAAAAGTCTGAAAGACTTATTTGAAAGAGCTGATGTCTCCTCTAATAAAAGCTCTTCAACTGTAGAATGGTGCAAGTCGTGTGGTAACAGACGATTTCAGACTTGCCAACAAATACTGAATACTCAAACATTTACTTGCCACTCCACTGGGTCCGTATACACTATATATTGCAATGTAACTTGCAAAACCCAGAATGTTGTATACCTTCTTCAACGTCGATGTGGCATGCAGTATGTTGGCGAGACAGAACAGCCATTCAACAAACGCATGAATGGTCATCGAAGTGACTACACCTGCAAGCCCGACCTCCCCGTAAGTCGTCATTTGAGATCACCTGGGCACGCCCACGCTGATCTCAAAAACCTTACCATCACTATCATAGACCACAACAAGGGTTGGTCAAGGGCAGACAGACTTGCTCGGGAAAGTTTTTGGATAAGAAAGTTAAGGACAGTTTCCACAGAGGGCATTAATGAAAAAACACAGAATGAGTCCCTACCATCACTCGTTTCCTGTAACTCAGGCTTCAGTACAGGACTCTTACAGTTTTAAGGAATTTATTCCTCCTCCCAAACATCAATATTGAAAAAAAATTACCAGCGTATTGATTCATAATAATTTGTATAACGATCAAAATTAGGATTTCAGTTTGACTACCACATGTCAAGATAAGAATCATTTGACATCTTACTGATGAAGGATATTAGTTATCCGAAATATTTAACATTTGTTCAGGATTTTACTTTTTTTTTGGTGATGTACCCTTTTAGACTTGCTTATTATATATTATATTTTGTAGTGTACTGTATCATAATTATATGATCCATCACTCCGTAAGATTTATCGTTGGCTATTACTAGTATTCAGACATCTTATATATATATACAAAATTATATATATTAGTTTGAAAATTAAACCCAACAGTGGTAGAAGTAGATTTTTATGCTGACAGATTTTTGTCCCCTAACAGGATTTGAACTCACTCCTTTGATACACTACAGCACCAATCGCTTAATTGTACTCATGTCAAGTGCTCTTGACCACTCGACCACATCCGCAATATAAAAATATAACTTCAATAGTCGTAGTGTTACCTTGTTACGTAAGGCGAATCTAGAGATAGACATAAGACATGTGTATTAAGCGTGTGTAGATGTTATATTATTTATTTTTTTTCATACACAGTAAAATTGAGAATGGAAATAGGGAATGTGTCAAAGGGACAACAACCCGACCAAAGAGCAGAAAACAGCCGAAGGCCACCAATGGGTCTTCAACACAGCGAGAAAATCCTGCACCCGGAGGCGGGCTTCAGCTGGCCCCTAAACAAAAATGTGTACTAGTTCAATGAAAATGGACGTCACACTAAACTCCATTTAAATAAACTAAAATTAAAAAACATACAAGACTAACAAAGACCAGAGGCTCCTGACTTGGGACAGGCGCAA